CTTGGACCTCAGAGCCAGGGAATGAACCAGCTCTGACCTCCCCTGAGAAACCCTGCTGCAGGCCAGCTGAGGAAGAGCTTCTGTTTTCACCTTGACAAGTTACAAGGGGTGGGGACCTCACAGCTCACCTCCTGCCCCTTCCCCAGCTGCTCTTCTGTCTGACATCCACCTGGAGGTGGCCCCAGGGCCTAGGGTTACTGCAGAGTCTGGGACTGAGACAGGAGAGACAGAAACAAGACAGTGGCCCGGATGTGGGCAGGGATGAAGTCTGGCTGGTGTGTGTGTGTGTGTGTGTGTGTGTGTGTGTGCGCGCGCGCGCGCGCGCACACGCACCTGGTCCTAGTAGCTGGGAAGACTCCAGTCTAAGGCCAGGCCATCTGGGGGTCACAGCCAGGTAGGAGGACCTGTTCAACCGGGGGAGGGAGGCTCAGCTCACAGGATTTTCTGTTCTGCAGTGGGAATCGGGATAGCCCTGTGCCTCCAGGGCAGGGGCAGAGGCTGGGAAAGGAGCTGCTCCTGGCAGTTATCTGACCCCAAGTGGACTTGTCCAGCAGCGATGAGCTCATGGGCACAAGCGTAGAACTGGGTGGTGACAGGAAAGGAATGGCAAATGTTCTCCGGAGACCTGGAGGCTTGGGCCTTTCACATGAGCTCATTCGATAAGACATCCTCTGGCCTTGCCAGGCCAGGAGCCAGGGCAGCTGTTCCAAGTGGCCCTGTGGCCCTGGCCCTGCCCTACACACACACCTCTCTCTCCCTCTGTCTTTCTCACCATCCTTTCTCAGAAACCTCAGGCTGAGCCCAAGAAACCCAGCACTGAGATGACCTAGGCAATGCTGAGCTTATTTGGATGATTGATGAACATTATTTCTAAAACCAATCTCTTATTTTGTGTGTATAGGGGAGGGCATGGCATATCCATCCAAGGTTATAGTTTTAGATTGAAATGTCAAAATAATATTAAAATACGCAAGTCCCTCTGGTGATATAGCACCACCTGCCTCCTCCTCTCCTAAGCTTTCATATCTTCCCGGCAACTTTTTGTGCCTAGCCAGAAACTGAGATGCATATATCTTGTAACCAACTTTCTCCTGTAACATTACTTCACAGTGTCCTTTCCCATTGAATCTGTATGGTATACAATGGAGTAGTCCACCATCAGGATTCGGACTGGTTTAGTGTCATCTGCTTAGACATTATAAAAGTAAAACATCTCTATACAAAGTTTCTCTTTTCTCCCTCTTTCCTTCCTTTCTCCCTCTTTTCCTCCTTCCCTCCCTCCCTTCATCCCACCCATCCATTCAAGGAACTGCTGGGTGAGGGAATTTGTAGCAAGGGATTCTCTGGCTTGGCAGCTATGTAGGGGCCTAGTCCACCTGGCATGGCTGGGTGTGTACTTATTGGCCTCTTTTTCAGCCTCTGTGCTAGGGCTGCATCTTTATTTGTGTTATATCCAAAGACCCTTGGAGTTAACTTAAATGATCTTCCTCTAATTTCTAAGGACTTTCTTAAATGCTTTATCAGATCATTAGATTTAGAAAAAAATCTTTTTTAGTTGTTGATGGACATTTATTTATTTATCTATATGCAGTGCTAAGAATTGAACCCAGGGACTCATATATGCTAAGCAAGTGCTCTACCTCTAATCTACAACCGGAGCCCCATTAGATATTTTTTTAATATATTTTTTAGTTTTCAAAGGACCTTTTTTAATAATTTTTTCATATTTGTAGATGGACATGACTTTGTTTTATTTGTGTGTGTGTGTGTGTGTTTTAATGTGCTGCTAAACCTAGTGCCTCACAGTGCTAGGCAAGTGCTCTGCCACTGAGCTACAGCCCCAGCCCATTGAAGGACCTTTATTTTATTTATTTATCTGCAGTGCTGAAACTCAAACCCAGGGCCTCACATGTGCTAGGCAGGCGCTCTGAGCCCCAGCCCCAGCCCTAGATATTTTAACTACTATTTCTCACGTTTACCATGACATTTTCTTCCACTCTATTGCCTTTCTTTGTGTTGGTGTATGAGTGCCTGCAAAGTTAAAGTACATATTCTAGCTTCACAGACCCTGTACTTTCATTACTTGTCTCTTGATTAGGGCAGTTGTTCCCAGACCCCCTGGAGAGCTGCAATCAGGTTTGCTTTGCTTCCCACTTCTCGCTAGACCCAGGCTGGGAAAGTCCACCTCACCATGAGGACCACAGAGGGGCTTTGGTTCTTGTGAACTGGGCTCCTACATGGTGCAGATAGGAAACTGAGCTTAGAAATATTAAATACTAAGAATGCCTTAGATAGGACCAAATCGAAGAGCCTGAACTTTGTCCCGGCCAGACACCAGCGTCTCAGTGGATGGGTTGAGCAATCACTTTTACCTTCTGCTGTGGTTTTAAAAATAGTTGTGTGTGTTTGCATGTGAGTATTTAATTCCAATCAGTCTGGAACATTCTGTGGTGAGTGGTGAGTAAAGATCTGCTATCCACATGTCATTACTATCCGTTTCCCTTATGAATGTAGTGATAATTGTTTCTTTCATCATTTTACATGCACTTGACTCATGATATACTAAACTCAAACATCTGCCCTATCACATAGTTTTGACAATTGTCACATGTATTCTATAGTCTGTAAGCATTTCCCCTGGTTTTACTTTAAGAAAATTACCTGAACTGTTGTTTTTCCATATAGAAGTCATTATTACTTTATAAAATTAAGTTTAATTTTAATAAGTTATATTTTATTTTCATTCAAACTCTTATTATAGATTTTTAATTTTATTGCATAATGGTCAGAGAATACAACATACACTATTTAAGGGATTTGAACTTTACTGAGATTTTTGTGCCTGCACATAAGCCCCTGAATTAGAGAGAAACCAATTCCATTACAAGGGATTCTGTGGGTCATGTAGGAGGGAGGGGCTCCCAGGCGTGTAGCCTAAGCGTTCCTTTCTTTGGAGCTGGGGGTTGGGTTGGCCTGGCTGTGCCCTAAGGAGAGGCCCAGGGCAGTTATGGAGTGGGCAGTGTGGAAGCAGGTGCGTGATCTTGGTGGGTCTGGGCTGCACGGTGACCGTGACCCTGCTATCTGTGCTGTGCTCCCTATCTAGTCCCAGGCACTTCGCGAGCCTGGGCTGTGTACTCCTGGGGGAATGAAAGGAGGGAATGATTAGCTAAGGAGACAGAGTCCCTTCCCTCTACTGCAGTGGGGATAACAGGAGTCTTACTAGGTCAAAGATATCCCTTTATGAAGGCTTCAGGTACATATTGACAGATTGCTCCCTGAAAAGTGGCAGAGACATGCCCTCCCCCAACCAGGAATGTGGGAAGTCTTTTCCTTGCACCCTTGCACACAGGGTCTTCAATCTCTTTCACCTCTGATAATCCAGTGGGTGGAGAGACACTCCCTGGGTTTTGTGGAAGTGATGGTAGTGATGTGTATGGTTTTCTTTTTCTTTCCCTCTTCTTCCCTTGGTGAACAGTAAGCTTGACTGTCTGCTCACAAAGTTACTGGCCTTTTGCAGACCTTGATCAATAACTGCTTTAAATATGTCATTCATTTCCACTGGAGTATTCTTTTCTTTCCTGACTCATCTGTAAGGGTTATTCAGATATCAGGAACATTATTGCATTTGCTTCTCACACATCCAAATACTGTTCTCAGTTTCTACTTTGATTTTCAAATATACATGAATGTCATATAGAAATGTCAATTTTCCAGATAGTCAAATCCATCATTTGTTGAATGGTTTTTAGCTTCTAGCTTTAGTGTCATTTTCAGAAAGACCTCCCCTTTCACCTCCCAAGATTCAATAAACCTTCACCAATTTTTTCTAGTACTTTTATTAAGTTTGGTATGTATTGGTTTATGTACACATTTTTACTTCTAATCCATCTGGAATTTATTAAGATGTGAGGTAGGGATCCAGCTTTATTTTTTTAACATGGAAAAATTTAAAGCAGGGGTTCCCAATCACCTACCACAATCATTTTTTAAAAATCTAAATAAAAGCTGTAGATGAACAAAATATCTTTATTTTATTTTAGATGATGTTATTTCCTGGTGAAAACTCCAGGGTAAATAACTTGCAAAACACACTCTCAGACTGAACAATTAAATGTGATTAATTCTTTTATCTGGTAATTTAACTCAAGAAAGTTTTGTTCAGAAGGAATGATTTTTTTTTTTATTATTGATTTTTAGCCATTTTTTTTTTTTTTGGCAGTACTTAGTGGTCTTAGCCTTCACAAGTCCTCACGAGCTCATGGTGGTAAACCCGTGTCCCTGGAGCGTGTTTAACGTTTTCCTCTCCCTAGCACAGTTGCTATGGGTTGGAGTGAAGAGGGGTGAGAAGGCAGCTCACCAAAAGTGATACCAAGTCATTAAAATGCAGTTTAGTAAGAAGGTGCAGGGGCTGGGGTGGTGGCTCAGTGGTAGAGCGCTTGCCTAGCATGTGTGAGGCCCTGGGTTCGATTCTCAGCACCACATATAAACAAATAAAATAAAGGTCCATTGACAACTAAAAACAAAAAAAATGAAGAAGAAGGTGCAGAATTCAACTATTTCACTCTACTTGAGATTATATCTCATCAATGTCTCCCTCCTGGACCAGAGCTTATGGCATTAAGGTGCTAACCTCAGACATGCCAGGAACTGGGCTCTCCCTGAGCACATGAGGCTTAGATCCGCACCAATTTCTTTCTTTCTTTCCTTTTTTTAAAATATTTTTTTAGTTGTAGATGGACACAATTTCTTTCTTTCCTTCCTTCCTTCCTTCCTTCCTTCCTTCCTTCCTTCCTTCCTTCCTTCCTTCCTTCCTTCCTTCCTTCCTTCCTTCTTTCTTTCTTTCTTTCTTTCTTTCTTTCTTTCTTTCTTTCTTTCTTTCTTTCTTTCTTTCTTGTGCTAAGGATCAAACCCAGGGCCTCATACATGCGAGGTAAGCACTCCACCACTGAGCTACAGCCCCAGCCCCAAATTCGCACCAATTTCTGTCCCTGGAAACTGAGGCCAAGAAAAAGAGCTTTAATCAAGGTGATGAGTTGTTTTACATCTAAAATCACTTTCCAAAATGATGAATATGAGAGGACTTCAAGTGGCCAAGTGATAGAAGGCCTGTGTCAGGTTCTGCTTCTGTAGCAGGATACCAGAGACTGGGTCATTCATGAACAGCAGAAGTATGTTGGACTCATGGTTTTGGAGGCTGGGACTGATTGAGGAGGACCCTCTTGATGTATCATACCCTGGTGAAAAGTGTCATATGACAGAACAGAAATCGAGATAGGGAGGAAGGAGGAGGAGTGGGGAGATAGATTGAGCTTTAGATGGAACTCACAACCTCAAACTCTTTTATACTTGGCATTAGTCCATGACCTAAACACCAACCATTAGTCTCCACCTCCCAACACTGTTGCATTGGAAATTAAGTTAAAAAAGAGAGCAATGGAGCCACAATCCCCTTTAAGGGCATGCCCCCAGTGACCTAAAACCTCCAGCAAGCCTTCACCTTTTAAAGGTTCCACAGCTTCCCAATAGCACCAAGGTATAGACCAAACCTTTAGATCTAAACTATATGTCATGGTAAGGCAGGAAGCTGGAGTGAGGAGGGGTTCATTTTGATATTTTTTAATATTTATTTTTTTAGTTTTAGGTGGACACAATATCTTCATTTTTATTTTTATGTGGTGCTGAGGATCAAACCCAGTGCCTCACGCATGGTAGGCAAGCGCTCTACCTCTGAGCCACAACCCCAGACCCCCATTTTGCTTTTTAGTAACAACCCTCTCTCAGAACTAACCAGGATCCCACAAGGATTACCTTAATCCTTTCATATATAATCCTTATATAGCCCCAAACCCACCAGTGACCTAATGACCTCCCACTAGGCTGCCTCTTAACATCGACACCCTGGGTACATAGCTTCCAAAGCTGGGACTCTTGGGAGACAAGACACATCCAAACTGCAGCATTCATTGTCAGACACCTCAACCCAGACACCAGTGGGGGGAAAATTAGAAGAAACAATTCAATAAGCTGATATTTAAAAAACAATACCCATTTGGTGCCTACTTTGTACTGGGTGCTGTTTCAAGTGTTCAATAAGCTACTAGTTATTAACTTATTTAATCTTAGTAGCAATTCCATCTCTATTAAAATTTTTTTTTTTCAGTGCTAGAGTTGGAACCTAGGACCTTGTTCTAGGCAAATTCTCTATCACTAAACTACACCCCCAGCCCTTCATCTTCATTTTATAGATGAGGAAACTGAAGCATATTGGAGTGGAGTAATTTGCCCAAGGTCACAACTAAGCAAGGAAGAACCCGATTTCAAACCCAGGATGTTTGACTTCAGAGTTTGTACTCAAGAATAAAATTTTCTATGTCATGTACATTTGGGAGGTTGACAAAGGCGTATCACATGTCTGCTGGTTTGTTAAGCCACCTGTCAAACCACACCTTCTCATAAAACTGCATTAAGCAAGTCTCCCAGTATCATCCAAAACCTGCAGAAATTCACTATACCTACCTGATGGCGCATGTGATGGTTTAGATATGTGGTGTCCCCCAAAAGCTCACCTGTGAGACAATGCAAGAAAGGTTAGAGGTGAAATGATTGGTTAGGAGAGCCTTAGCCCAATTGGCACATTAGGTCACTCATAGGGATTAACTGGTGGTAACTGCAGGTGGGTGTCCTGTAGCTGGAGGGGGTGGGTCGCTGGGGACAGGGTTTGGGGTTTGCATTTTGTCTGTGGTTTGGGGAGTTTTCTCTGAGCTGCTTTCCTCCACCATGCTCTTCTGCTTTCTTGTGCCTCACCTTCTGGCCAGAGCAACGAAGTCAGCTGTCCAAGGACCAAGACCTCAGAAACTGTGAGTCCCAATATAAACTTTTCCACCTCTAGTTGATCTTGTCAGATCTTTTGGTCACAGTGGCTAAACATCTGATTAAAACAGCCCAAATTAGATTTTCTCCCAAGATAGAAAAAGTGGTAATGAGTTTAGGACAAGAGCAAGACAGCACCGGCAGACAGATGTGTCTCACCGGCTGTCATCTGGTCCTGCTTTCCTGCTTGCAGGGGCTGCGTGCGGGACTGTAATGGGAAAACCTTAGATGCTGAGATGGAAGTGTGTTGAATTTACTGACCATTAGTCGATAAGAGGTGGGAGGAAGAACTAGCTCTCTTGACGTATGCCTAGAAGAGTTTTAAGATGTCCTCATAGGCAAAAAATTCCCCAAAGAATTTGAACATAGCTTGTCCACCTCAGTCTTCTTAAAACAGTCACCTCCTTGGAGACCTGTGTTTTGGGGGAGGAGGAAAGGAGCTGGGATGAGGCAAGGATCATCCTTTGGGATGGCAGGAAGCAGGAGCGCCCAGCATCAGAGAGTCAAGGGCGTTCACAGAGTGGTCCTGTCATCCCATAATCAACTTTAGACAATTTTCATCACCCCAGAACAGGACATCAGCCCTGCGAGACAGTTGGGCCATGCAGCCTCAGTATTACCCGGGTATGCTTCAATATAGGGCTTTGCAAACATTGTTCTTTAACAGTAACCTGGTTTTTGAAAGGCGTCCCAAAGGCAAGAAATCTCATTCATCAATGACTCTAACACAAGATCATAAAAGTAACTACATACTCTAAAATCAGTATTTTATGGTTTTAATATTTTAGTTTTATTTTTTCCAGTACTTAGGATTGAACCCAGGGGTGCTCTACCACTGAGTTCTATAGCCCCAAACCTTCTTATTTTTTAATTTTGAGATTGGGTTTCCCTAAGTTGCCCAGACTGCCCTCAAACTTGTGATCCTCCTATCTCAGCCTCCTGAGCTGCTGCAATTACAAGTGTGTGCCACTACACTGGGTATTGTTTATTTATTTCTAATTGGTACATTATAGTTATACATAAAAGTGGAATTCATTGTGATATAGTCACACATGCACACAGCATAATTTGGTCAATTTCATTCCACAGTTCAAAGGAACATTTTAAAAAAAAAAATATAAAGATTTTTATATGAGAGGCTGGGGCTGGGGCTGGGCTCAGCAGTAGAGTGCTTGCCTACCACAAGCGAGCTGCTGGGTTCGATCCTCAGCACCACATAAAAATAAATAAATAAAATAAACATATTGTGTCCAACTACAACTAAAAGAAATATTTTAAAAAAGATTTGCATATGACAATAATAAGCCATCAGCAAATATTTCTAAAAATTCCATTAATTATAGCATTGTCAAAAATTTAATCCTAAATGCTAGGTGTGGTGGTACTCACCTGTAATCCCAGCAGTTTGGGAGGCTGAGGCAGGAGAACTGCAAATTTCAGGGCAGCCTCAGCAACTTAGGAAGGCCTCAGGCAACTTAGTGAGACTCTGTCTCAAAATAAAAAATAAAAAGGTCTGGGGATGTGGCTCAATTGTAAAGCGTCTTTGGGTTCAATCCTCAGCATGTGTGCATGCGCGCACACAGACATCCACACACAGACATAAAGGAAAACCTAACTAAGTGGAAAACTGGACCATGTGCCTCCATAGGAAGAGTTACCCTTATAAAGGTGTTAATGCTCCCCAAAGTATGGGAAAAATTTAACATGATTCTGAACAAAACCTCAGTGACTCTGTGAAAGCTGAAATGTTTTTAGGAATGATAAATAAGTGATAAATACATGCAGATAATCAAGATTTTTTTATTTTTATTTATTTATTTATTTATTTTAATATTTATTTTTTAGTTCTCGGCGGACACAACATCTTTGTTGGTATGTGGTGCTGAGGATCGAACCCGGGCCGCACGCATGCCAGGCGAGCTCGCTACCGCTTGAGCCACATCCCCAGCCCCAAGATTTTTTTAAAAAGGAAAATATTTTTTAATTATTTTTTAGTCTTAGGTGGACATAATATCTTTATTTTATTTTTTATGTGGTGCTGAGAATTGAATGCAGTGCCTCACGCATGCTAGGAGAGTGCGCTACCACTTGAGCCACATCCCCAGCCCCCACAAAAAAGAAAAATCTTAAGATATATATGTCTTCCGAGATACAAAAATATATTATAAATGCCAATTTAGGATGTGTGATTGGTAAAGGAATAAGTAAGTAGACTAAAAAATAATAATAAAATAAAATAGGAGGTCCAGAGATAAACCAAGTTCATAGAGTCAGCTCTCAGTGATTTCCATCAGAGGAACAGATTCCAAACACTAATAGCAAAGATGCACACGGGAAGAAGCATCCTTTGTGCATAACAGTTAGGTTACTCTTGGGTGCCTCCTGCTACTGCACTGTGTCCTTCCTGCTCACCAGCCAGTGTCACAGGTCTCAGTATCTAGCTTCCCCTTTAGAAACTCATAGTCCACAAGAAAACCCCTAGCCTCGGGGAGTCTCGCTGGAGAGGTCCTGGGTAACCAGGCCATGGACTTGGTAGCTGGGTTCTCACTAAACTGCCAGTTCTTGGCAGAGTTGCTTTCCAAGATTCACTAGTCCAGTGCATTGGACCTGGTCAAAGCCCATAGATCCTGTTTCTGGAGAGAAGAGAGGTGGTCTCTTCTGGACAGGGCTGCCTACATCCTGGGTACCAGGCAGTTTGGGAACAGCTTTATCACCTCACATAGGCTACTCCCTCATCAGAGGAGGATCCAAAGGCAGCACTGGTAGAGTCTTGCCTCTGGGCTTCTAGTCATTCAGAGGCACCATGGCCTGGACTCCTCCAAGAACCTATCCAACTCAGAAGAACACTAAGAACCTAAGAACACTAAGAACCTATCTGCCTCTTAGTGTGCTGGGTAGTGCAGTGAGAACATCTTGTCAAAATATCAGCACATTGGCATAGAGGTATGTGCAGACGAGAACTTGGTCTTCTCTGCTGGCAGAGTTGGGGAAGATGTCATCAGTGTTTTGAAACAGTTCAGTGACTTTCTTCAAAGAGAACAAAAACAATGACACCTGAATAAGTGGGTGGGTTCGTGGTACGTCTGCACCTGACAAGATAATTCTGGTGAATGTGAAATTTGAGAATTTGGTTGAAAACTCTCACAGACACTCTGAGGCAGTGACATTCCCAGGCTTCCACCTCATGGCTGCTGGAAGGGCCTGGCCTGTTTGTTGTGGGAAGAGGTGACATGGGAGGATTTAAATATTTATCCTCAGCACCACATAAAAATAAACAAATAAACAAATAAATCAGCGGCAAGAGAAGTAGCCCAATTCAAAGTGGAGAAGTAAGAAGGGGGAACCAAGAAGCAAGTCCGGAGGGACTCGGGGGCAGAGTTCTTGAGGAAAGGCCCCACTGCTTCTTCACAGTGGTAGCCATAGGACCTGGGTCTCTGCCAACCACCTTACATATCTCCTCTCAGTCATTCACAAGTCAACTGTCACTATCCCCATCTCACAGATGAGAATGCTGGGACCTGGCCCACGGCTGGGGCTGCCAGGTAGCAGAGGTGGGCTTCAGTTCTTTCTGAACCCCTGTGTCTTGCCTCTGTACAGAGCAGGCACCAGGGAAGTGTTGGTTGGAAAGAATGATGGAGGATGCACCTTGGGATGGGGGACACTGGCAACAGAGAGGGGGAGCTGACTTCGAGGGGGGAGAGGTTTTCACCTGGCATCCCTTGGCACCTTTTACATATTGCACTAAGTGAGTGTTATTTTTCAAGACAAATATACAAAATAATAAAGAGGACTAATATCTCCCAAGCTGAATAAAAGGCCACTTTTGAGGGATCTACAATCAGTGTAGTCCTGTTTTCAAAAATAAATTGTTCTAAGCCCAGAGGATGCTTTGACTACTTTACATTCTCATACCCTAGAAAGAGTTGAGGCAAAAGGGCAGGTGATTGCTTATAGCAAGAATTATAGAAAATGGGGGCTGGGGTTGTGGTTCAGTAGTAGAGTGCTCGCCTAGCATGCACAAGGCACTGGGTTCAATCCTCAGCACCACATAACTGTAAAATAAAGATATTGGGTCCACCTAAAACTTAAGAATAAATATTTAAAAAAAGAATTATAGAAAATGGTTAATACTACACTTTATTTCATTTAATTTTTAAAATTAAAAATTATAATTTGGGGCTGGGTTGTGGCTCAATGGTAGAGTAGTTACTTTGCACACATGAGGCACCAGGTTCGATCCTCAGCACCACATAAAAATAAACAAATAAATATATTGTGTCAATCTACAACTAAGAATTTTTTTTACATTATAATTTAAATTTTTAATTGGCAGAAATAGTACCAACTTGTATAGAGTGTTTTGATAGAGATATACATTGTGGAATGACTAAATCAAGCTAATTAACATATCCATTATGGCATGTACTTATTTTCTTGTGGCGAGAACATTTAAAACCTACTCCTTGGGGCTGGGGATGTGGCTCAAGCGGTAGCGCACTCGCCTGGCATGCGTGCGGCCCGGGTTCGATCCTCAGCACCACATATAAACAAAGATGCTGTATCCGCCAAAAACTAAAAAATAAATAAATATTAAAAATTCTCTCTCTTTCAAAAAAAAAAAAATGAAACAACTACTCCTTAAGCAATTTCCTAGTGTACAAGACATCCTCATTCACTATGGTCATCATGTGTATAAGAGATCTCTGAAATTTATTCCTTCTATGTAACTGAAATCTTGAATCCTTTGAAAAACATCTCCCCAATCCAACACCCACACCCCGCAGCCCCTGAGAACCACCCTTTTACTCTTTACTTCTATGGGTTCAACTTATCTAGATTCTAACCTATAAGTAAGATCATGCATTATTTAATTTTTCACACTCAGTTTCTTTCACTTGGCATAATGTCCTTTGAGTTCATTCATGTTATCACAAATGACAGGATTCCATGTTTTTTAAGGCTGCATAGTATTTCACGATAAATCTACTTCATTTAATCTGTTTGTCCTCTGATGGATACCTATGTGGTTTTGTACCTTGGCTACTGTGAGTGGGGCTGCAATAAATACATGAATGCAGGCGTCTCTTTGACATACTGGTTTCTTTTTTTTTTCCTTTCTTTTTTTTTAATACCAACATCATTGTTTTACATATATATATGTAATTTTTATTTATTTATTTATTATTAGTTGTTCAAAACATTACAAAGCTGTTGACATATCATATTTC